CGGATGCCTCAATCGGAGGACATCTACCAGATGCCTCACTTGGAGGACAACCATCGATGCCTAACTTGGAGGACATCTACCAGATGCCTCACTTGGAGGACAACCATCGGATGCCTCAATCGGAGGACATCTACCAGATGCCTCACTTGGAGGACAACCATCGGATGCCTAACTTGGAGGACATCTACCAGATGCCTCACTTGGAGGACAACCATCGGATGCCTCACTCGGCGGACAACCATCGGATGCCTCTGTCGAGGACAACCATCGGTTGCCTCTGTTGAGAACAGTCATCGGTTGTCTCCACTCGGAGGTACAACCATTCGGTTGTCTCCACTCGGAGGTACAACCATTCGGTTGTCTCCACTCGGAGGTACAACCATTCGGTTGTCTCCACTCGGAGGAGAACAGCCATCGGTTGTCTCTATCGAGGACAGCCATCGGTTGCCTCTGTCAACCATCGGACAACCATTCGACTGCCTCCACTCGGAGGTACAACCATTCGGTTGTCTCCACTCGGAGGTACAACCATTCGGCTGCCTCCACTCGGAGGTACAACCATTCGGCTGCCTCCACTCGGAGGTACAACCATTCGGCTGCCTCCACTCGGAGGTACAACCATTCGGCTGCCTCCACTCGGAGGTACAACCATTCGGCTGCCTCCACTCGGAGGTACAACCATTCGGCTGCCTCCACTCGGAGGTACAACCATTCGGTTGTCTCCACTCGGAGGTACAACCATTCGGTTGTCTCCACTCGGAGGTGCAACCATTCGGTTGTCTCCACTCGGAGGTACAACCATTCGGTTGTCTCCACTCGGAGGTACAACCATTCGGTTGTCTCCACTCGGAGGTACAACCATTCGGCTGCCTCCACTCGGAGGTACAACCATTCGGTTGTCTCCACTCGGAGGTACAACCATTCGGTTGTCTCCACTCGGAGGTACAACCATTCGGTTGTCTCCACTCGGAGGAGAACAGCCATCGGTTGTCTCTATCGAGGACAGCCATCGGTTGCCTCTGTCAACCATCGGACAACCATTCGGCTGCCTCCACTCGGAGGTACAACCATTCGGTTGTCTCCACTCGGAGGTACAACCATTCGGTTGTCTCCACTCGGAGGTACAACCATTCGGCTGCCTCCACTCGGAGGTACAACCATTCGGCTGCCTCCACTCGGAGGTACAACCATTCGGCTGCCTCCACTCGGAGGTACAACCATTCGGTTGTCTCCACTCGGAGGTACAACCATTCGGTTGTCTCCACTCGGAGGTACAACCATTCGGTTGTCTCCACTCGGAGGTACAACCATTCGGTTGTCTCCACTCGGAGGTACAACCATTCGGTTGTCTCCACTCGGAGGTACAACCATTCGGTTGTCTCCACTCGGAGGTACAACCATTCGGTTGTCTCCACTCGGAGGTACAACCATTCGGTTGTCTCCACTCGGAGGTACAACCATTCGGTTGTCTCCACTCGGAGGTACAACCATTCGGTTGTCTCCACTCGGAGGTACAACCATTCGGTTGTCTCCACTCGGAGGTACAACCATTCGGTTGTCTCCACTCGGAGGTACAACCATTCGGTTGTCTCCACTCGGAGGTACAACCATTCGGTTGTCTCCACTCGGAGGTACAACCATTCGGCTGCCTCCACTCGGAGGTACAACCATTCGGTTGTCTCCACTCGGAGGTACAACCATTCGGTTGTCTCCACTCGGAGGTACAACCATTCGGTTGTCTCCACTCGGAGGTACAACCATTCGGTTGTCTCCACTCGGAGGTACAACCATTCGGCTGCCTCCACTCGGAGGTACAACCATTCGGCTGCCTCCACTCGGAGGTACAACCATTCGGTTGTCTCCACTCGGAGGTACAACCATTCGGTTGTCTCCACTCGGAGGTGCAACCATTCGGTTGTCTCCACTCGGAGGTACAACCATTCGGTTGTCTCCACTCGGAGGTACAACCATTCGGTTGTCTCCACTCGGAGGTACAACCATTCGGTTGTCTCCACTCGGAGGTACAACCATTCGGCTGCCTCCACTCGGAGGTACAACCATTCGGTTGTCTCCACTCGGAGGTACAACCATTCGGTTGTCTCCACTCGGAGGTACAACCATTCGGTTGTCTCCACTCGGAGGAGAACAGCCAGCGGTTGTCTCTATCGAGGACAGCCATCGGTTGCCCCTGTCAACCATCGGACAACCATTCGGCTGCCTCCACTCGGAGGTACAACCATTCGGTTGTCTCCACTCGGAGGTACAACCATTCGGCTGCCTCCACTCGGAGGTACAACCATTCGGTTGTCTCCACTCGGAGGTACAACCATTCGGTTGTCTCCACTCGGAGGTACAACCATTCGGCTGCCTCCACTCGGAGGTACAACCATTCGGTTGTCTCCACTCGGAGGTACAACCATTCGGTTGTCTCCACTCGGAGGTACAACCATTCGGTTGTCTCCACTCGGAGGTACAACCATTCGGTTGTCTCCACTCGGAGGTACAACCATTCGGTTGTCTCCACTCGGAGGTACAACCATTCGGTTGTCTCCACTCGGAGGTACAACCATTCGGTTGTCTCCACTCGGAGGTACAACCATTCGGTTGTCTCCACTCGGAGGTACAACCATTCGGTTGTCTCCACTCGGAGGTACAACCATTCGGCTGCCTCCACTCGGAGGTACAACCATTCGGCTGCCTCCACTCGGAGGTACAACCATTCGGCTGCCTCCACTCGGAGGTACAACCATTCGGTTGTCTCCACTCGGAGGTACAACCATTCGGTTGTCTCCACTCGGAGGTACAACCATTCGGCTGCCTCCACTCGGAGGTACAACCATTCGGCTGCCTCCACTCGGAGGACAACCATCGGTTGTGAGGACAACCATCGGTTGCCTCTGTCGGACAACCGAGGTTGTAACAAAAATTGAACCACTGGCTCAACACCTCCGTCGAGGTGAGCCATTCGGCCACCTCAGTCGAGGCGGAACCCGCGGTTCACTGGCTGAAAGCGTACGGATATATCAACACTCGGTGAAACCGGAATTTTTACAGAAAATTCAAAAATGTTTGTATCTCGTCTCACAGACATCCTGGGACCTTGCGTCAAAAACACGTATATACTAACTTTTGATGGCCAATCCAGCGGTGCTACTTACATATTTTTTTTCCTTCTCATTCGAAGACGCCATCATGATTTCCTCTCAACAAATTTAAAAAACCCCTAGAAGAACGGTTTTTTTTCTCAAAATATTTTTGTATGTTTACCCACATATACAATGTGTGCATGCAAAAATTCAACAATTTGTCTAGGTCTATTAGAACCTGAAATCGAAAAGAGTGTTTCATAAGCAAAATTTTTTTTTCAGAATAATTTAGACCTCGCCGAAAAAACGAAGCTGTGATTTTATAAAAATGACCAGTGTGCTTTTAATACGTTTGAGCGTAGCATTAGCGCTCGAATTATTTTAGGGAGGATGTTTTGCAATAACCGCAGTCGCCTAACCCTTACCGAAATCCAGTCCTAATTAAGAGAAAAAAATATTTTGATGCAGGATTGAGGATAAGAAATAAAGGTAACCTCGTTTAATCAGCATTACCAAGTACCAATATACACCCTTCTAGTCCAAGGTTCTAAAAAACAAATACTGGATATTCTCACAAACAGCTTACTACATTCGTATTCAGCATGCTCGATTACCCCCCTGTGCCAACTCCCAGCCCCGTAGCTCAAACTTTGCAAAAAAATCGATAAAATCGATAAAAGTAGCGGATAATTCTAAAAACTAAAATTGTATTCGTAATCAGCATGCTCGATTACCCCCCTGTGCCAACTTCCAGCCCCGTAGGTCAAACTTTGCAAAAAAATCGATAAAATCGATAAAAGTAGCGGATGATTCTAAAAACTAAAATTGTATTCGTAATCAGCATGCTCGATTACCCCCCTGTGCCAAATTCCAGTCCCGTAGGTGGACTCGGCAAAAAAATCGATAAAGATCGATAAAATCGATATCGATCGATACGAAAAGTAGCCTATGACACCCGCCGGGGCCCGAAGTGTATGTGTGCCAAGTTTGGTCCCGATCGGTTCAGAAATGGAATTTTCTATTCGGAACATACGTACACACATACATACAGACATACATACATACAAACAGACATTCAGCTTTATATATAAGATATTGCTAAAAATTTTTCTCATAGTAGTTGTAAAAAGCTTGCCCTATCATGTTGCACATATCGTATGTAAAAAAAGCATTCAACGCGAAGGCGTGAGACGAAGACGAACCTTATCACGACTACCTGCATGCCATGACAGCTGCATTCATCAAGGTTTTGAATGCGTGCCTTGAACCCAAAAGACGCAATTTCGAAAATAAGACTTGCATTGTAATTGTGACTGCTTGATCTAAGTGCGCACCAATTTTTGTTTTTTGGTACTTCCCTTCTTATTGTTATCGCGAAAATACTAGTCTTCCGGAATTTTAACGCACTTTGTATTTCCATATCGAAACAAAGTGCAGTTACAAAAACATTTGAGTAGGAATCTTATCTGAAGAACAGTTTTTCTTTCTAATGATGAGCAAGTCAGAATGCAGTAGCAATTCAGAATAAGAGATTCTATAGCTGTGTAAGCTATATGGTAATGCTGTGCCATATGAATTCAGCGAGCGCTGCCAAAGTGCTAAGTGTTGCTGTTTCTAAAGAGCCACACTTTGCTTGCTTAGCCACCGCCTTTAATCATAAACATTTGAATTCGTCCCACTTCAATTTTCAATACAGCAGTATCCTTGCTGAAGAATTCATTTTTTTTTCGCGAATTCGTAATGTTTCTGGTACATTTGATTCATGTATGTTGAGCGTATTTGTATTCAATACAGTACCAGCTGTATATCCCTGTTTTTTTTACAGTCGGGTTTTGCGTTAACGAAATCTCACCCTATATCAAGACATTCTGATGTAAGATTGTCCTTATGTAGGAATTATACGGTTATTTTAAGATCGATGCCCCATGTATGTACCAGCTAGACCTCGTCCAGGATGCAGAGTGAAGGTGACCACCGACAAAATGGGTTGCAATCATCCGAGTATCATTTGCGATAAACAAAATGTGAAGTAAAAGTGAAGTGCTGTGACGGTGATGTAATAAAGATTACAAAATTAGTCGAATTATCGTCGATGGATTTGTAGCTCAATATGCATATATTGCGTACCATGTGATGATGACTTTCAATATTTGAAACTATTAATTTTCAATAATTTCTCCTTGTTTCCCTGTCTCTTTTATCCGACTGCATATGTATTAAGTGGTAGTACACTTCATATTTTGCTGAGCTAGAAGAGGTCTCATTTGAAAATGACGAGTGAGGGAGCAGTCGGTTGCTGCGCATAGTGTGGAGGTTCAGACATCAGATTACAGATGAATGTTGGGTATGGTACTTCTACAGTACTTTCTTCTTGATAAATAAATCACGCAATATTGCTTTCTAATTTCCGGAAAGTTTGGCGTTTACTCTCGGCGTGAAAGAAGATCTCAGGATAAGCAGGAACCTTAACGATTTCCTTCAGCGAATAAGCTTTCCTCAACGTTACAAGGAAGAACATGGAATATAAGAAAACACCTATTTTGCGGTAATTCGAAACTTAAGCAAGCCCATCACGCCCTCTCTCACAAAATCGAATTTTGCTAGATCCAAAAAAGAATTGAAGGAACATTAAGTTGAAAACTCAGCTTCTCAGCGGATTGCATCAATTTCTCAGTTGGACGAGGCGCGCAATCTTGGGATTACGTAGAATGTGTGTGTTGCAAATGTACATAAACCAGTGATTTCTGATCATAAAACAGGAAGATCTTAGCATTTTACAAAGCTGGGTTTTACTTGGGACTAGTGAATCAAAATCGATTAAGGAGGTCTTTACAGCTTGGATCACTCATCAAGTCAATTGTGGATTTCGAAAACACAGTGAGGATAAGAAATTGACATATAGAAGTGGGACAGGGGGCGGGCTAATGCAGGGCTCAGCAGAGGTGGCGCTTCACACGCTGGATGCCATTTTATGAAAGAAAAGCAAAAGGAAGCTCGTAAAGTTCTTAGGAGTGATTCCCGAAAAATTCAACGAAATAGTATTAACAAGCACAAACGTAACTCTTAGTGAGCCCTAATGATGAGTTCTGACGTCATTTTACCAGTTAAAGCTAGATTGACACGTTACAAACACGATAAGTGCTTAAATCCGTGTGAACATGATTTCAGCGTATTAGAACACAATCCTTATGACAAAAAATAAGTAAATAGTTCGTCTACAACAGATAAACAATATTGAGCACCAAATTTGATGTGTACCTCCGCGACGACGACAAAAAGCAAAGTATGTAAAATTGCGAAAATCATGTGAACATCAGAAAAATTATAAGCATTTTTTCAATTTAGGTTGCTCCCTAGGTTGCTCCCGTGCAACCTCGGAGCACCCTGAGGTTGCGCGGAACCCAACAAACATGATTTTCGCCCTTCCTCACATAATTTTTCAAAATTTTCTACATTAGTCTATCCTGCAGTTCAGCCTTTACCTATGAGCACTTAACCGTTGATTCAAATGGCTTGACTTCGGGAAGGCGGGCTTTGTGAGTTAATTATCCGCTCGCGCCCGCGACGCATCTGCGCCTCTCTCGCGCGAGTGTTCTCTCATCATTACTTAGCCTTAATTAGGTCACGAAGCCCCGCCTTCTAGCCAAAACAGTTGAATCAAATGGTACCTTGTCCCAAATTTCGTTTCCCCTGCTTTGCTATGGCCATTGACGACATTCAAAACCGCCTTTTTTTCACGTGCTATTTACACCTACAATTTTTCTTGTCTTTTCTTACCTTCATTCACTCACCGTTCGTTGCAGTACATTAACCGTACTTCTACAAACACCACAAAGGATATTTCGTACTATTCTGCAATATCAAGGTGGACTTTGTTTCCAAAATTTCCAAATGTCACCTCGTGCTAGTACTCGTTAATGTTGTGAAAGAGTGAAAAGAAATGGCGAATCCATCGTGATATGCCGGGTATCCCAGCTTTGAATGATTAAAGACAGACAAATGTGTCATTCAAAGTATTCACTTTTTCTTCATATAACATCCAGTAGTAGACTGTAACGGAAAATTCGGAATTTCTCAAACTAATATGCGAGGATCGATGTATCAAACATTTATTTCGGAGAATGAAAGGTTGCAATAGCAGATAGCAGCCCCTCCATTGACTTCTGTGACTTGAACTTCTGAAGCGGTTCATTGATTTTTGTCTCGACTGTTTTCTTGATTTTCGCCGGCACCTGGAAAACTTACAGCTTATATAGTAGGTTGAAATTTTTCCAACTTTCCATAACTCTTTTCCTCTTTGAGTATGACACCATGCTTTTGTTGATAAAGTTGTGTATTACGTTGTGCACGAATATAATTTGTTTGCAAGAATGTGCAATCGCTGATGGAGCTACGATAAGTGCAAAGAGCAAATTACAAGCGAGCAAAAATATAAATTGTCATAGGTTGGATAAAGTTGGGGGAGGGGGGGGGGTAATCGACTTGAAGTTCACAAAAATGGTTCATTTCGCGCGGTAGGCTTTACATAATTATGGAAAATCCATAGCATGATTTTTCCACCTAGACAGCAAGTGTGCACGACATTCTGTTCAGCAGATCAATTTCCGACTTTGCAAAATTCAGCAAAATCTACAGTTCCAACTCCTTGACGGCACTTCAAAACATGACGCAATTGACTTCCATGCTTTCTGAGGGTTCTAGATCTCTATTTGTCTTCACCTTACAACTGTCTTTTCAGCTGTACTTAGTTATCATCCTTAGCTACACTTTGCTTACAAATTTGTCTTGATTTGTTTAATTTCAATACAATGCTTCAATTTGCTGCAAAACATCTACAACTTCAAATTTGAGTGTTCGCAGCCTTCTCTTTGTCATTGAGAATAAACAGTTTGTGCAATTCCTCAGCTCATTTCGTTCTACTCAAATTGGAAGAGCCTTACTCAAAGAGAGAGAAGTCATGGACAGTTACAAGAACTTAGCTTCTAACTTAAAGGCATTTTATAAATTTCACAAAGAAAGCTCTATGTCAATGCAGTTTGGTTTTCGAGAAATTTACAACAGTCAGAAATAGTTGAAAATAGCCTACCTCCTCCAGAAGCGTACGAACGACGCTGATCTGTGATTTGCTAAAATCACCTTTGTATAGTTTTTCGGCTTTCGCCTTCCACTCCGCCACCTAAAAACGGAATAAGCTGTGCCAAAAAGCATTGTTTAGAAAAGCGAAACCTTGTTTTTTATTTCCTTAGAGACAACGTCTTTGATAGACTTCATAGTTTCTGAGTGTAGATTTCTCAGCAACAGATCCTTTTTTCGGAGGTCTAGAAACTTGTCAGTCAGTGCTTTCTAAAATTTACAATTTTCGCCAAGATAAATCGAAAAATCAATTCAGAAACCTTATCGGTAATGTTAAGGGATGCGATGAATGCTTCGCCAGCCTCTTTTCCTTGAGATTTCTTCAAGCCGTCATTGTACGCTTTTGCCAACTGGAATATAAAGTTCCTGTTAGTCTCTTTGAGTCACTTCGTTATGCGATTGTTTTTGAATTGTATCCTTTTTCTTCTCACCTTTTTTCGTCAACTTGTATATGACTTATGTAAATTTTGTTTTTATTTATGTAATTTTTGTTGCATTTTTGTGCCTAAGTTTGGTTGCACGTGTAATTTACTTGGCATAAATTTACTCGTATCATTCCAATCCCATTATGGAAATATGAGCTAGTATTGAATAAATTATTTGACAAAGTTATTTGAGAAGTGTTCTTATTATGTGCAGCCGTTCAAATCATACTCCTCTGAAATTAGGATGATTGAATTGAATACCCACGAAAATTAGGTCGTACAACTATGCTAGTTTATTACTAAGAGTTGCAATTTTTGTGTTTCTGTTGATCAGCACATTGCTCAGCATATTATTTTTACCTAACTCGATATACTCTGCCCAGATTTAGCGTAGTAGAGAAAGTGGAGTGACTGACTGGATTGACTCAATAGTCTCAAATGTCGGATCGGCTCTAATGTTTACCATACCCAGTGAGCACAGCTTGACAAAATGAGGATGCTCAACAGCCTCAAGCTCAATAGAACTTAATGTTTCGATATGTACCTGATCGATCTGACTGCTGGACAGAGATGTGCCGTTGAAAACTCGTTGAAAGGCTGCGGGGTCCAGAGCAAATGCTGATGTGGCTATGCAGGCGATTGCCGCATATCTAAGCGAGAAAACTACAGACTAAACTACAGATATTATTAACTACAGATATTACTCTTAAAGTTCTCATGTGGACAATATTGACCTTATCTTGAAATCACAGCCTACTCGGACGGTTAATGTACCGTTTTAAGGGGAACAGAATTGCAATGCACGAAGAAAGCATGCTTTGCAGTTATATCGACCGGAATATCGATATTCTATTCAGTAGTCTAAGGGTTCGCTTTTTCCGCCTTTGAATGGAGTTACTCATTTTTCAAGCTGCAGAATACCGAGCCTAACAAGCAATCATTTCCCCTTCACACAGTTGGATGTCGAATACAGTAAGAGGTCATCGATTTTGTGAGAATTCATTTCTGAGGAAAAATTATCATTATAAAGAAAATATCTATTGATAAGAAAATATAATAAAAGATTTTATATCTAAAATCTCCAGGATTTCGAATGCGCTGAGGAATAAGGTGCTCTGTTGATACAACTGAGAAAGAATTTGGAGTTACGAAACTCATAGGAAGTTAGTGGATTCTGGTAATCATCTGCGAGATACAAAATTTGTTTACTGGAAGTTCTGATCAAATGTTTCAAACCTGTTAGCAGTGATAACAGTACCCCGCAGGTAAATGCTAGGAGTGTGATTTGTAGTACATACAGGAATAGACCGATGGTACAAAAAACTTTTGAGTCACTTCAGCCGAGAATTCTACTGAGAAGGAGCTCACAAGATTACGTCTAAAAGGCTCATAGACGAATTACCAACTAACTAAGCCGCATCTACGTTTTTTTTTCTCTGCAAAACTGAGCCTACCTCAACACAACAGCTGGTTGCATGACTGCCTACGCAAATTGAGCAGTGTCAAACAATTTGGACCGCTTATATATTTCACACCATAGGTATCATTTGCGCGATCAAGCGCAGATTATCCCAATACTGTGGTTGTTCCAAAGATCGAACTGTGCGCAATTTACTCGGCCTTGATTTTCGTTGATGTCCAATCATAAAAGGGAAAACTGAGCATTGATACTTTTGTTCAAAATGAGACCATTATCTCATATATTATGAGATATTCATGTTACATGCTTCTCTTGATGACATCAAAAAATAGCCCTCGTTTTCCTCCTCATCGTATGGTATGCGAAAACATACGTTAATGTAGAAAGAGAAGTACACGGTGCTGGTCTTCGAAAGATTTTCGACAAGCCAAATATGCTTTCTGTTCAAAACTAATGACTAAATCGCCTATTTCTGTGAAAGATCTTTCTTATTCATTTTCCATGTCATCGTTCCTGAACACAAAGCCTCATTTGAAAAGTTTAACGATTTGCCTTGGAAACTCAGAAAATTCTCAGATATCTGCACTTATCGGAAATGAAACGTATTAAAGTAGGCTAAAGCAAAAACAAAATTCTGGTAGCTAGACTGGCCTCGTAGGAGAAAGACAGGGGCAGCAGGACTCAGCATAGGTGGCTCATAAGCAAAATGGATATCGTTTTTGAGACAAAAAGTGAAGGATATATCGTTTTTGTGACCAAAAATACACAGAAATTGCGACGTCTTTAGTCGACGTTTCGTTTATTGAGGGTTTTTATGCTTATGGTTTAGGGTCAAAAGGTACTTGAAATCTTGAATTCAAAAGAGACTTCGTTTATTCCATTTTTGGAAAGCCACATCGTGCCGAGCTCTGAGGGACAGTGATGATTTGGTATGCGATGCAAGATTTTATGTAGTGCTCAAAACACTAATATCATTCAAATCTTCCATATCCGCGAAACTTTACACAGAATGAATCGCGTGGCTTTTTGTAAACAAATGTAGTTGGGGAAACACCTAAATTGCGAGCTATATAGGGATGTGCAAACACGAGTTGGGAAGCACAGTTCTGATTGTAGCTTGATGGATCAAAAACACTCTCGCAATTTCAAACACGTCGTTTCTTTTCTACTATTTTTTTCTAAATACGAGTACAGGAAGGATCGTAAAAGAAACTTTCTCTCATGAAAGTTTGGTACTAAGCATAACCCGAAACCAGTATGCGCAAAAACATTTATAGGTTTTGTCTTCTCCTTCTCTTCCTTTCAAGGCTACATTGTCACTTCGTTTTCCTCCATAAGTTCACTGAAAATCAACTAATCTAGCTTCAACACAGCGCATCAAATCTTAGACCTCCACTTCGGCTATTACCCTTCTTTATTTAGCTTCTTCATAGTATTATGTGCTCTAGAGAAGCGTATATACAACATTAGACTTATGCAAAGTTCTTGGGTGAATCTAACAAATTCAATAATTTATCTAATCATAAACCCAAAATCGAGGAAGGTTTACACTATGAGGAAGTTGTTCAAACGCAAGATTTCATTGGCTAGCCTTGGCGAACCAATCTTTCTACAGTACGCTGATTTTCACGTTTTACATTTGGTCTTAGGCTGCATTCATACTGATCCGGAAGTTCGGGAACCGTTCCAGCACAGCGCTCAGTTTTTGATATTTTCATTTCCAAAGAAAAACCCCTAATATGCATTTTCCTCGCAGAAGCACAACGCGCAAGACCTGAAATTTGACAAACTTTTAAAGGCAGTGTCCCGGCAGATTCGGGTCCTGAGGGATATACGGGTGGTGGGGTTCCTGGTCACCCCATCGACCTCCAGGCGCACTCCGACTGGGTGATGTTCCCCCTGGGCCGAGAAAATGGCTCTTGAACCTGCGCGCGCAACCCCAACTGGCTCGCGCCTGGACGGCCTTCCCTGCCTGTTCGGCGCGGGACCCCACGAGCGCTCTCCCCCATGATGCATGCTATCCAAAGCAAGAATTACAGGCGGCAGGATCTTCGTCTGAGGACCTCCCCCAACTTTCCATTAAAAACCTCGTCCAAGCTGGTTTTCTGGAATGAGGAAAACTCCCCAAAGTCGGCCTTTTCAGCCCGTTCAAAGCTCAAATTCGGATTCTAGGTGGCGAAAAGGCCTAAAACATGCAAAAAGGTGGAGGTGCAAAATCTGCCGGGACACTGCCTTTAAGGTGATCGCTAAAAAATGGGGCACCTAGAGAATAAATGTAGATTTCTCAAAAAAGAAAAGCGATTAAACTTCCCAATTTTGATAGATGTTAGAACAAATTATTTTCTTTCAGAAAATACCTATATAAGGTCATTTACATACCTAATAATTTTTATAGTGGCTGAATTGCAAAGTTAGTCACTTTGACAAATTATAAACTTCGGGCAGTATCTGCGCAGTGAGACATGCGAAACCATCCAAGGTACTACTGCTGCAATGCGTGAAGGTACAGTCACCAGACCCATGGTGGGTTGCTGGCCTCAACTTTCAAAGCCAGAAGATATGGCCATTAGCATCGTTGAGAACAAAGATACGTGCTATTCAATTCTTTGCAGTTAAACGCATTTTATAGGTACCATCTGAAAGAGCTTTTTGCGCTCTATCCATCCATATGCAGCTTACCTCAAATTTTGTCTATCTTCGGAAAATACAGATTGAAACTTGATTTATTGGTTTTTGTTGCGCCAAATAATCGCGATTTTTCAGGTGTTTCGCTTTTTTTATAGAGATAGGAAAAAAATCTGTATGTTCAATAGACAGTTTGAAAGAGCATGAAGAGCTCTTTCGAATGGTGTATCAATTGCTCTATAAGTTTACGGTATGGCAACGCAAGAATGAGCGATGTTCAAAAAACCCTGTTTGAGTTCTTCAGGGCGCCACGCATAGGTTTGTGGGAGAGGAGTGATGCTTTGCCAGAATAATATGCGAAGGTCGCTTATATAAGCGACGTTTACGTTGCAGCCTGCTTGTTGCTGAACGAAACAAAAAATTTCAAAATCTAATAAAAATCAAGCTGCCCCATTTTTTAGCGATCACCCTAATACTTATAAAATGCTGTTGGACATATTTTGAATACCAAACTGTTTATTTTTTGACAAACTAAGAAAGGCCTTTTCCTTTACCCGAATGCGAGGAAATCCCCGTAATCATGGAAGGCTAAAGTTTGCTACGGTAATTTTACAGACTACTGCTAGCAAACAATTTTTCGTATATTTCTTGAGCTAACTAGCGGTCTAAAGTGTAGTAAGCATCTATAGCTCCCCCTCCCCTCCCCCACCACATCCTCTTCTGCAATTTGAGGGCATTTTACTCATTATATTACACAAGAATGCCCAAAACCAAAAAAAAGAACACAAAGCACTGGTTAAATCACATTGTCCCTTGCTGGATGAATGAGGTCGCTCTCCATCTTTGAAAAGTGAGTGGAGCTCCTCCAAGATCTTTTTCTCTTACCTGAATGCAAGGAATGCAAGAAATCACCACGGACCGCTTGATTAACTTAACCCTAAGGACAACCGTCAGCGGTCCTGTGCGAGCGAAGAAGGGGGACCTCTAAGCACTAGCAAAAGTGCTCACTTGTCTTCGAAATCCTCAAACTGCCATCCAAGCAAAAATAACTTTCCAAAACACTTAGAAAGATTGATATGCAAAAACACTCATGTCAAAATCAGTAAAAAAATGGAAAAAATCAGTCAAAAACATCAATTTTTTCCAAAAATAAGAAGGTTACTTTTTCCTGAAAATTTGGCTTGATCCACACCGAGCAATAGAGCTGGCAGAATCAATCACTTATTTACGTGTGCAGGTTTGGCACTGGTCACTTTGTGGAACTATGCTGGCGTTTCTTTTGTCTTTATTGAGTTTCCTTTCGCCGAGGCCAACACATATGTTTTCCCAACCTTACTGCGGCTAACTTCCTGCTGTGCACTTTTGAATAACTATAGACTCTTATGACCTTGTGATAACATTGTTTTGTCGGTCATTTCATTTGTATAATAATATAAGGAGAAGCTAATTCAGCGTGTTGGCGCAAGTCCCGTTTAAGGGTTCCTTTCGCATAAATTCCCATTGCGTCATTGGCTGCGGTTTTCTGCACATTCTTAGTTGTGTTTCAGAAAAATTCTTAAAGTTTGCGGTTGTTTCTGTTGTTTCATCCTTAATCTCCTGCGTTTGCCATGCTTATGGTAACTCAACAAAATTGTTGTCATTATAACAATCTAACTAATAACTTTCTGGAGTTTCGTGTCTCGTTATCCATCCTAAATTTTCTTTTCATTTTTTGCCCTAAGGCTGAGGTCTGACTGGTCTCATGCGTTCTTTGAACTTTCTTTTCGATGTTCTTTACTTTCGCACCTTGAGTGTATGTATAAGATAAAACAAATAAAAAATTGATTAGCTAAAACTACAAACGCATAGCTCCAGCTTTCTTCCTTAGGTCAAGTGTAATATTATAGATTATCCTTGTGAACAACAGAGTCTCTATCACTGCACACTGTAGTGATGGTAATGAGGAAGCATTTGTAAATAAATTGCTATTTCTTTTAACAAATTGCTTCAAAGAAAGGTATAAAAAATATTAGGTTGGCTAAAAAGTAAGTTCGTTTTAGCATACAAATTGTCATAAAAAAATTTCTTGTTGTTTTCAATCTATAATTTTTTGTGGGAAAGTAGTTCGAAGCTTCCTCTATCACATATCAAATAAACAGGATTTTCTATCATTAGTAAAGACAGTTATGCCTCAACATGGCGAAATTTCCAGAAGCTCAATTCTTTGACTTCTTGAGCTTCGTTTTCATGCTGTAATGGATGTAAAGAACAGCAGTTTGGTGTTTGAATACAGAGGAGTTATCCCTATTTAGTGAACAACAAAAAGAGTTGTGATCTGCCATTTTGAAAATCTTTCACTAAAAAAACCAAATTTCGTCATATTTGCGCATTATGACAAAATTGCAATTTTTCACTTCTTCGCGGATTTTTTCCTGGGAAGATAAGTTTTACTC